TAATTTACTTTTCTTTAGATTAACTTTAATTACTTCAATTCCCTTGTACTTGTGTGCTTGCACCCCTTGGAGGTATCTTGTTTGCGTCCAAACTGTAATCTTCATATTCGATAAACACTCCTTTTTGGGACTTTGTTCCAAGAGGTTTGTCCCTTACACAAACGTCTGATCCCTTTTTAATTGTTAGCGAGCAAACGCGCGAAACACAAGCATGATTGTCGACTAGTTGGCTGATTTTTTTTCCTTGACATAATTCGTAGAATCCTCCTTTACATAATGCTCGATATATTTTTTTAAAATGATAGCACAACACAAAGATTGTATTAATATAATCAACTCATTAACGTACTAATTATACTGGGCATGTTAACAACTCAATAAGATATAAATAGCACAATGTAGAAATTTATTAAATCTAAGCTGGAGCATGCAAAACTGATAATTAGTACATCTTTCTTAATTTCAAGAATAAACACGTTAAAAGAAATAAAAAATGCGAAAGTAACAAAGTGGGAAATAAAACCATTCAATGTAGAGTGGGTGTATATAAAAAAATTTCAGATCATCTCCAATGAACTCTGCATTTTTTAAAATATCGTAGATATAATAGAGAACATATTTAAGAAGTGATATTTTTACACACTTCAATAAACTCTTTATTTTTTAATCTTCATTTTACCTTTTCCAACAATTAATTATTGTTTTCTTTCATTTATCGATTAATATATATACTTTAAATTGTCAGTAGCTAAAATATTTAAATGCTAATTTAATAATGTTGTATTCAAATTTGCAATCTAGCCCTTGTTTGATATCCATTTTGGAATAATTAGTTTTGAGAATGTGTAGTTAAGAAATAAGAAAAAAATTCGATTTAAGTGTAAAATTATTTTATTATAGCATGTGTGGTTAAAATGAATTTTTGAAAAAATAGGATGCAAACATTCTTTTATTGCACAATCGTTATAAAATAGTACTCTAAATGTATAGAGGCGTGCTTACTCTTTATTTAAAACAATAAAAATAAATAGCCCATTTTAAAATTTAGTGCATCCTATATTTAAAAAGTCTTATGAATATGTTGTTACTTGCTAGAGTTTAATAATGTAGAAAAATATGAAAATGTATTTGTCAAATTGAAATTGGACTTTTAGGTGGGGTTGTGTCTCGACAAGGATTAAGCCCCTATTTGGTGGGGATTAAAATCAGTTCTTTATAAGATTTTGATGAAGTTGATAAAATGTATGATTGAAAAATTATGAGATATATAAAATATGTGGTTTAAATGAATTGTTGACTTTCGATTTACATTAAAATCTAAGTTTTTCTTTGTACCAAATGGGAGCTAAGATTTGGGACCATGCAAGAAGAAAAATGGATTTTTTCATTGTTTGACAAGCAACATCTTATTGGTCTTGTTGAGGATTCAAATAAGATTTTTAGTAAATTTTAATAAATGTTGATGAAATATGCGATTGAAAAGTTGTGATTCCCATAAAAATTGTGGTTAAAATTAATTGTCAACTTTGACTTATATTAAAATCTTGATTTTAATCTCTATCAAACGGTGCCAAGATCGAGGAAGGCGACTGGAGTTTCAGTCTGTGAAGAATGAGTTGTTCTTCGTGATCCATAGGAGATAGACGATTCTACTCAGCTAGGGACTACTGCAGGATAGCGGGGTTCCAATAGAGCGTTGGTTATTGCAGCTGGAATTGGTGCAGGGGAGCACAGAATTCAGGAGAGATGTTAGAATTGCAGTTAGGAGATCAGATAGTTTATGTTGTCGTCTAGTCTGGTAGACTGTAAGTATATAATCGTTTATAGTGGATTGACTGGTAAAGTGCCCGAAATTTTTCCCGGTTGAGTTTTTCCGTGAACAATTCTTGTGTTCTTTACTGCTTTATGTTTTATTGTTCATGACATGCAAACTGCGGTAATTCAACATAGGATGATAATTTGATTTGCATGATTAACCATCTAGATAAGAATTAAAAGTGACTTGTTGCTGTTTAATTTGTATTTGTTTTTAATTCCGCATTAAATACGTATTCACCCCCCTCTAGGTATTGTTATGGTCGAACTACGTATATTTCAATTGGTATCAGAGCCTTAAATCGATTCCTGACCCTTATTTGATGTATTCTAGATGAGTCAGTCTTTGTCCGTGCCTCCGTTTTTCGACGGAAGTAATTATGCCTATTGGAAAGTTCGAATGAGAGCTTTTCTTAAGGTTTTGGATGAACGTATTTGGATAAGTGTGCAAAGTGGATGGACTCCACCTTCAACAACTGTTGATGGTGTAGTTACACCCACTTATATTTCACTGTAGACCAAAACTAATTTGGATGAGTGTAATTGGAACAGTAAGGGCATTCATGCCCTGTTCATGGCTGTGTCTGCTGAGGAGTTTAGGCGTGTATCAATGTGTGAAACTGCTAAAGAAGTTTGGAATATTTTAGAAACCACACACAAGAGAACTAAAATTGTTAAAAACTCTAAACTATATATGTTAACCTCTAGGTTTGAAGAGATAAAGATGGCTGAGGATGAGACTTTTGATGGTTCTTATGCTAAACTGAATGACATTGTGAATTCGAGTTTTAATCTTGGTGAGAGGATCTCAGAGTCGAAAATTGTTAGAAAAATCATTAGATCACTGCCCGAGAGATTTAGGCCGAAGGTGACTGCGATAGAGGAAAGTAAGGACTTGGATGCTGTTAAAATTGAAGAACTCGTAGGATCATTTCAAACTTATGAACTCACCGTCTCACAGCCCAAAAAGGTTAAATTCATCGCCATGAACACTGTTAGAGAAGTTGAGAGTGAGTCCATTGACACTGAGACACTTAGGGACGATGAAATTGCTTATTTCGTTAAAAATTTTCAAAAGGTGATGATGAATAGGAGAAAGCCTCAGGAGCGTAATAGTGATGTCCCTAATCAACTCTCGAGAGGCAGACATGAGAAGAACACTTCTAGGAATCCCGTTAAGAAATCTCAATCTTCCCAATACCTTTAGTGTAGGGGATTCGGTCACATTAAGAGTGAATGTGAACATTTGAAGATGAGTTCGGGTAGAGAACATCGTAAGGCATTAGCTGTGACCATGAGCGATGAGAAGTAGGATTCCAGTTCTCATGATGAGACATCTGTTGGTGAGTTTGAACATATTTGTATGGCCTTTACCTCGATTGCTGTAATCGAATCCGACTGTGAGATTGAGAAGGGGGAACATGAGGATGAGAGTGAAAGATCTGGAGAATGGTTAAATTGTCGTGTTGCTCACCTTGCTCTTAAAGCTCAAAATAATTCCATGTGGTATCTTAATAGTGCATGTTCGAGACACATGTGTGGTGACAAGTCCCTGTTTTCATCTCTTGATGAGTGGAATGGCGGAGTAGTCACGTTTGGTGATGGAGCTACTGTACCGATACTTGGTAAAGGAGTTGACTTTGATGAAATATTTGCCCATGTTGCTAGACTTGAATCCATTAGAATTCTTCTGGCGGTTGCCTGTACTTTGGGTTTCAAATTGTACCAAATGGATGTCAGAGTGCGTTCCTGAATGGCATTCTTCAGGACGAGGCCTACGTAGAACAACCTAAAGGGTTTGTGGATCCAAAATATCCTCACTACGTGTACAGGGTGAACAAAGCATTGTATGGGCTGAAACAAGCTCCTGGAGCTTGGTATGATCGCCTTACTGCTTACCTCCTGGAACATGGTTTCACAAGAGGTGGTGCTGACAGAACCTTATTTATAAGACGAGTTAAGGACACCATTACCATAGCTCGGATCTATGTGGATGACATCATCTTTGGTTCTCCTGTTGATTCCTTGGCTCATGAGTTTGCTGAGTGTATGAAACAAGAATTTGAGATGAGCATGATTGATGAATTAACGTACTTTTTTGGACTTCAGGTCAAGCAGACTGACGAAGGCTTATTCATATCTCAATCGAAATATGCCAAGAACCTTGTCAAGCGATTTAGGTTAGACAGCAAGAAACATACTAGAACCCCTATGAGCACCAGTATCAAGTTAGGTTTGGATCCTACAGATAAGAGTGTGGATCAAACACTGTATAGAAGTATGATAGGTAGTCTACTTTACCTCGCTGCTAGTAGACCTGACATTGCGTTTAGTGTGTGCGTCTGTGCGCATTTTCAGGCTGATTCTAAGGAATCACACCTGAGCACCGTACGACGCAGAATAAGCAGTAAAGAACACAAGATTTGTTCATGGAGAAACCCAACTGGGAAAAACTCCGGGCACTTTACCAGTCAATCCACTATAAACAATTCTGTACTTACAGTTTACTAGACTAGATGACGACACGAACTATCTGATCTCCTGACTACAATTTCAACAACTCTCCTGAATTCTGTGCTCTCCTGTACCAATTCCAGCTGCAATAACCAACGCTTTCTTGGAACCCCGCTATCCTGCAACAGCCCCTAGCTTGGTAGAATCGTCTAT